TGTGTTTCTGCAGGTAGAGCTGGATGTCATCACTGAGGAAGACAGAGAGCATGTGAAGAAGGCATGCACCCTGTGGAACAACACAGGGATGAAAAGTGAAGCCTGCAGTGCAGTGTTTAGATACAAGCAGTGAAAAGCAGTGTCTGCATTGCAGTGTACGGGTATTAACAAGACACTTTCATAAAGACCATGCACAGCAGTGAAAAGCAGAGCCTGCTGTATTTGGGTATCAACAGGACGGTTTCATAAAGGACACTCATTGCAGTGACAAGCAGAGCCTGCAGTGCTCAGTTATAAACAGAAAATTTTCATAAAGGACACACTCTGCAGTGAAAAGTGGAGCCTGCAATATTCAAGTATAAACAGGACGCTTTCTTAAAGACCACACACTGCAGTGAAGAGCCGAGCCTGCAGTGTTCAGGTATCAACAGGACACTTTGATAAAAGACACGCACAGACCTCTTAGTTTGATCTAGATAAAGCAATCCCAGACATTCCTTTAAAATAAACAATAAATAACTTTATATTGCAGCCGTAGAAAATTGTTTTGAAAATCAAGCATGCGTTCATGAATGCAGTCCTTCATGGATGATGTCTCTACTGCAGTTCTGACCTTCGAATTAGAGATAACGGCAAACATCTGCACCATGTTCTCCACTGGCGCGGAAATGGGGGGCGGAGTCATGAAGGAGTCCCTTTCCAAAGCTCAGTATAGGTATCCATGGCGACCAGCTCGCTGTCCCGTAACAGGACAGACACAGGGTGTTATCGAGGCTGTACGTCACCGGCGATTCCTGAAAGTTCTGCAGTCTTGACTGAGGACTCACCATGGTCCAGCCAGGTTCCAGCTGGCTGCCAAAGCCCTCATTCAGCCACATGTCGCTCCACCAATGCATGGTAACATGCAGCTTCCCAAACCACCACCGGCACATTTAACCAAGACAGGGGGCAGTCTTAGCCCAGAGGCATAAAATGGATTCATAAATTAACAGCTGATTAATGTGGCATGAAAGGTCTCACATAACGAAGAGTGGAGCAGAGCATGGAATTAACACCTGCCAGTCATAATAAGACCATGGCCATTTAAGCTGATCAGTCATCAGCAGACATATCTTCACGCTGCACCCGGGTGATCATAATTTATACATAATTTTTATGACCACTAGGTGGAGGCAGCAAGCTAAGATTGCCTTTAAATGACAAAAAACAAATAGCATTTAATTCAAGAAACAATATTATGTTTTTGTACTGCACGACTCCATCTGTCCCAGACAGACAGATAAACAGCGACATGTGGGAATATTCAGATCTATACACATTTCAAACATGTGTCTGTTTCCTTGTTGACTCAAGAACCAGTGCTGAAAATCTACAGTGGGAGGCATCATCTGCTGACTGACAGCATGGCTTTTATCCCAGCTTTATATTCAGCACTGCTGGACAGAGAGGGGGGGGGGAGAGAGAGAGAGAGAGAGGGCGATGCGTGCCGGGGGGGGGAGCTGGTGGGCTGTGACCAGGCTGACGCACAGCTGCTTCCCCGGGTGGCCACTGCTCCTCGTACAGAAATGATGTCTCCCAAACGTCAGCAGCCCCCGGTTCTCCAGGGTTCCGGCCCGAAAGGCAGGGATAGCAGCCAGATCTGCACAGAGGAAAACACAGATACTGACTAGATGTGGCCAGACTGACAACGATGATTTCCCCAGACAGCTCCATCACACCTCCCTCCCATCTAATCTCTACCCCTCCCCCCCCCCCCCCCAAACCTCTACAGTCCTTTACACACTTTTCCTACCTCTCCAAAAAAAAATCTTTATTAAGAGCCCAACTTTGTCTGACTTATCTTAATGTAATCAGGTTCCACAGATCTGCGTCTATTGTCCACCACTAAGTGAGGCTGCTTCAGTTTTGGTGCAGTTTGTGTCAATGAATTAAACTCCATCACAATAAAGTTCACTGACCGGCTCACAGATAAGCGATATAATGTCACCAGTCCCAGGGAGGGGGGTGGGTCTGAGGCTGCTCTGCTATTTGCTATTGATCCATCAAATTCTTTTTGAGTGAACAAAAGCAGAGAACCGGTCCTAAATCCATATACAGTGCATTCAGTTTCTGGGGAATAGAACTACATGCCTATGTACACTCAGACATGTTATTAATCTTTATGACCACTAGGTGGAGGCAGAAACCTTTTAATTCAATAAACAATACTACATCTGTCCCAGACAGACAGACAGACAGTTACAGTGGGGGTTTGTGAATGCCTGGGGAGAAAGCAGCATGTCATGTGACCCAATGATCAGCATGTCTTGTGAACCATGCAGCCTTCTCTGTGACCATTATTCCCCTGAAGCTGTGTAGTACCTATAGGAAGTTAATAACTTTACATTCTGAAGAAGTGAATAGTACAGTGGTTACCAATCCAGTCCTCAGGGGCCCTCAGACAGTCCACGTTTTTGCTGGGAGCTGGAAGGGAGCAAAAATGTGGATTGTTCAGCAGGTAGCTGGGAGGGAGCAAAAACATGGACCGACTCTGGGTCCTCGAGGACCGGACTGGGAAACAGTTGAATAATGAATAGGATTGTGGTCTATCCCCTTTAAAGAAAAGCACCCATTTCAGCACTTCAGGAATGATTAAAAACACTGCACCCCCAGCAAATTCTTCACATATGTTTTAGTGAGGTCTACCGCACATTTGCATCCCAGTTCTCATAACTTTCAAGCGTTTCCAGGAGCAACAGCCCTCCCAGTCTTGGAAAGTTTCACGTTACTGGCTAACGCCTTCCCTTCAGCCTCAGCGTTCATCGCTCCACTAGTCAGTGCTGGCCCTCTGGAGAGAGCGGTCAGCCACTCATTGTGGGCATCCAGGTTTCAGGTGGTTTTAGGAGTGCAATTCAGATTGGGCTATGAACTTAGGCAAGAGTGCAGTTTAATCCACTGCTGTGGCAACCTGAGACCCTCAGCCTTTAATATTGCCAAGTTAATGGACTATAGACTATAAAAATAATTGCTATTGAACAACTTGTGTATTTAATTTTTCTGAAACAGGCAATTGAAGGTATAAAATGAGCCGAATGGGGGCTGCCCAGTAACGAGCGTCCAGGAGAGCTGGATGGCCATTTGGTGTGTGGCAACTCTGCACTGCACTGCTGCTGGAAGGCTTCCAGGCATGATTAGTCGATGGCAGATTCGGATTCTGGGGATGAACAGCTGGCTGAGGAAACTTCTTCAATCTTGGCCTCATTGCTGATTGCGGCTGTACAGAACTCTGCTCGAAATGAAAAGCAGCAGAAACAGTGCAACAGGCAAAACTGGAATTTACTGCTTGTATGTGTGATAGGAAAAGCATCTTCTGTGCTTGAAAAAAGAACAAGCGTGAACATTCATCTATCCTGAGAAAACAACGAACACTGTGCATATTACAGGAGGCATCGTGTTTTTACAATAAGTTACTTCGCTGATTTTTTAAAAACTATTTATCCATTAAATTAGTTTAAGATTATGATTAAGTTGAACTTTATTGATGAGGAAATTCTGGTGTAAACTGCAGTAAGAATGTAGAGCACAGACAAACATACCTACAGTGCAAAATGAAACTTTTAACAAAACTGGGAGCCCAAATGGTTGCAGTGCAGCGCTCCCATCTCTTCCAGCAAGGGTCCCCTGGACCACTTGTCTCTTGAACTCTGGGCATGTCGGAGAGATTTATGTGGCGTTGCTCCCACACGGCATGTGTGATGTTTGCCCTTTGTTTCCTCCCACATCTGTGTGGATTTTCTTTGCAGTACATAAACACACCACTAAGACAGTAAGTGTCTCAAAATTGCACTTCCTGTCTGTATGTGTCCTTTGATGGACTGATACCTGCCTTGTGTCCTGTGCTTCTTGGAAGCACATGGTTTCCCCTTGATAAGGAGTATAGAAGATGTACAGAGGTATTTCAAATGTTTTTTTTCATGATAGTCTTTTTATGATGTCAACTGTGCAAAACGTGCTTCCTTGCAAGAATTACCATTACAGTGAAGTGTCACTATGACTAACTTAAGTTCTTTATAACCCAGCCATGTTCAGCTCCTGCACCATTTAATGAGAGCATGTCAAAGAGCTCACTATTCATTGTCTGTGGCCACGCACTCATTTGTATTTTCGATGTTGCACACTTGCAACAGAAGAGGCCTTGGTCTTACATTAATTCTACAGCGAGGTAAGCATTGTGACTGTCTGGTAAGCCCAGCCGGGAGAAACGGCCCTGCAAAGGACAGCTGCACTACTGTGTCATGCGATGAAGGTTCGGGACGGACAATTCCTTATATTTTACATTAAACCTTTATTAAAAAAAAAAAAATAGTGCATTTTATATACAATACAATAAAAATAACAGTAACAATAGCAATATACAATACAAAAAATACAGGTCACAACCATTTTGTACAAAAACACAGTTACATTAACCTTACAAGACAATATGAATCCAAACAGTTGAGTGAAATAGACACGAATTTCATTTTAATGAACATCAACTTAGATCCCCTATAAAATGTCCCATGGTAAACCACGGTATGTCCCCCAGGATCCAGCCACAAGCTGGCACACGTACAGTAGTTACAGCTCTTTGTAGTCCCCTAGAAGCTTTACTCTCAGATTGGTTTTAAATAGGTCTCACGATGCGGCAGTGAACCACAGCATGGATCGGTGTTGGTGGCTGGGTGTCTCCGAGCAGTGATGTCACTTCCTCCCATGTCCAGCTCCTCCCCTAACATGAGCTTCATGTGACTCAGTGCCAGGTGAGTGTGTGTGCCCTGCGATGGACTGACATCCAGTCCAGGTTGTCCTCCGCCTCGTGGGATAGCCTCACGTTTAATGGATTTAAATCAGCTTTACTGAACCTGTCGTTCTTGGTTTGGTTTAATGCATTTATTATTGTACATGTTGGATCCCACGACAGATGACTTTTCACGAACCATGACGTTCTTTCGTACCTGCTACTATTAACATTTAAGTTATTTTTCAAATCACCCGCCAGTGTGTTAAGCCCCGTGTGCCTTGAGAATATCGTCATGGACTGTACATATGGTTTAGTACAATGTTTCCACACTCCCATTACTGACGACGCTTAGCTTCTGGCCATCCCATGATGCCATGTGTGTTTGGCAGTTAGTGGTTACCTGGAATACGGCTACATTCATCGAGTTAGAGCAGACACACCAAAGCCAGGTATTCAGCAGCTTGTCAAAAGCACACAAAGATACACACAGTTCTTTTGTTGAATGCCTCAGACTCCCATAAACAGAATAGCTTCAGTCAAAAAAACGAAATGCAAATACAATGGATTCTCGACTGTTTACCATGTAGGTGTGAGGGCAACAGTTCACCTCCGCAAGCCCCGCCCCCACCGCCAATCACAACAGGTCAGTACGTGCAACACGAACACGGACATGCTACACTGAGGGCAGAGCCACCTCCAGGACCCACACTGCTGGCTGTAGCCACGGGGGTCCAGCACACTGGCAGAGGGAGACCATCTGGTGCCCGTAAACCGCGGTCAGGCTCGGTCATGACCGCAGTGCACCAGTGAAAGGCTGCAGCCACGAGGCTTATTTGACGAGGAGGGATCAGCGATGCTGACAGCCCCCTCGCAGCTAAGGCCTGTGCAACTGCGAGCAGAGGGAATGCTGGGAAAAAAATGGAGGAGCAGCGGTCTGCACGGTCTAGCAAATATGCTTCTACAACACATCTTGCATCAGGTCCCTCGAATATGACATAGATTTACATATATACAGGTAAAATGCCGCTACTTCGCACACAGCCAACTCGTGAATAGATCTCCCTTGGACATATCCCGAACAAACATGAGCAGAAATCACCTTAACGTGCCTAAGAGTGGTTTGGGATCATGGGTAACCCATTAATACATTCTGTGCTGGGAGTGTCTAATTGTTTCCGGTGTCTTCCCAAGAAGTCCCCCCCCCCCCCAAAATGTGTGAGTATTCTTTTGCATCTTTGGACAGTCCTTTGATAAGTCTCATGTGGGCCAGCTCACATTCCCACCACTCACCACACTGGAGCAGAATGGTTCTGGCGACATCATCACAATGCGCCTTGAGTGGTTCGCTGAATTGCTGAAGTATCTGATATGCGTCCCGTTCGTGGCCACAGTGGAAGAGAAGACGGGCCTCGGTGAGCTGCCATTCTGGGGGGCCGGAGGGGCCAACTAGCAGCTTTCACATTCTCAGTGTGCTTAAATTACTAATGGCAAAAATTGAGTCAACAGAGCCAAAAAAACGGCAAAATACTAGTGGTTTTGGCACTCCGCAGAGTCGTTTTGGTTGTGTAGGGACCTCGGAGAGTGGCCAATACCCCATTGGTTTTGTTCGACTCGCTTGATGATCGCGCTGGACGCTACAGGGGAGGCCCATGCAGGTTAGGGCCACACTTTGTCCCCTTTCCTTTGGAGCAAGAATCACCAGAGGCCCAGGATTTCCCGGCCTGCACGACTTTTCGGACTCAGTTCTGAAACCTCCGGCCACGCATGGCGTTGAGGTTGAGGGACATCCAGAGGAACCCCCCACTGAGCCAGCAACTCAACACACGCAGGTGTTTAACACCAAACAGTCCGATTTCACGCGCTTGTGCCTGCTGGGTCACATGGATGGACTTAGTTTGCTGAAAAGTACTTCACCTCCTTGTCACTTCGCATGATGAACCTTTTCACTGCGCTCTCATCACTTGCTCTGCCTTGCAGTGAAATGGAGGCCGCCTCACTCGCCAAAGCCATCACTGCATGGCCGTCACCTTGAGGCTGTCGCCAGGGAAACGGGACTGTCCGGGCGTAAACTTCCTGTTGCGAGCATGTGGATGATGTGCTGAAGGATCCCCCCCGTCCCCCCATCTCGTTACCAGTGTGGCTGAGGAAGAGGTCTTCCCACAATGCACAGGGGTGTCCTTACTGTTGGGCCGGGACAGAGGCCCACACACTGGGGCACTGAACCCTGGAGCACGACATTAGGGGTGCAGGCAGTGCAGAGTGCTCGGGGAGGCTTAGCCCCCCGCCGTCTTTGGGAAAAGGCGATGACTTTGGAAGCGGGATGGGAGGCCCCCCCCCCGAATGGAGAGAGTGACGAAGTGCAAGCAAGTGAAATGCAGCCGGGGGGCATGCGGGGCGCGGACTGTGCGACAGTGGCCGGCTACACCACCGAGTCCTTGATGTCGGGCCCGAGCCGGACGCGGGGCCGCGAGCAGCTGGGCGAGATCTCCACCCGGCTCTCTTTCAGGTGCAGCGGCCGCTTCTCCGACTCGGAGAAGCTGCGGCTTGTGTCGGGGGAGGCCTCCTGCTCGTGGGGGGGCGTCCCGCACGCATACACGTCATTGAGGGTCTGGTAGCCCTTGTGGTCGGAGGCAGAGGGTGGGGCCGCGTTGCCGTTGAGGGGCAGGCTTTCTGCCGGCTTCGGCACCCCCCGGGCCTTTTTTGGCACCATGCTGGGGCACTCGCCCTCCTTCAGCATGGCCTTCATGTGGCCCCGGTGCCGGTAGACGGCCAGCAGGGACAAAAGTAGCAGTGATGCCCCGAGCAGGACGCAGACGATGACCAGCTCGTTCCAGTAGGTCTTCACAGCCACCTGGGTGGAACGGGCCTCGTCAGGCAGGTCCAGTGAGCTGCCGCCCAGCCAGGAGTTGCGGCTGTGCCCCGCTGGGCCCTCGGCTCTCACCTCGGCCCGCACGCAGTAGTTGGCCAGCAGCTGCCGGAAGCCCCCCTCCTCGGACCAGCACTCGTAGGTCTCCGTGCTGTCGGCCCGGCCCACCACCACCAAGCCCCCGTCGGAGCTGTGGTAGACTGAGCGGTTGGCCTTCTCGTTGTATGCCCAGTGCCGCTTTGCCAGGAGGGAGCGCTGCTTGCAGGGCAGGATGCGGAAGCTGTTGGCTGGGATGATGATCACCTGACATGGGGACGAGCCTAGGGGGGGTGGCGGGGGGGGAGAAGACTACGTTATACCTCCTGCATCTGGAAGCGACAGAGTACTGCTTTGTCACCTTATAAAGATTCTGTATGTAAAGTGGGGGCCCGATCTCAGTCCCATTACTGTAGCCCTTTGGGAGGGGGGAGGGAGGGGGCAGGCCTATGCTGGAGAGTAGGCTTGAGGGGGGGACGGCAAGCCTATGGTGGGGGGGGGGGTTTGGGGTGGTGAGGAGGACAGGCCTATGATGGGGTAGAAGGCTTATGAGGGAGCTTTTGGGGGTGTGAGGAGAACAAGCCTATTGGGGGTAGGCTTGTCGGGGGGGGGGCAGGCCTATAGGGGGGCAGGTCTGTGGGGGGGGCTGAGGAGGACAAGGGCTGTGAGGGGAGGGAGTACAGGTCTATTGGGGGGGGGCAGGCAGTAAACCACCAGGCAGCACGGGAGCTTTAGTGCAGTACATACGCGAGGGGGCCAGTTGAACGTTGGAGCGGGGCATCCTGCTGCATATGGCCTTCGTATCTGCTCTGTCCACATCCTGCCAGCTGCAGCCAAAACATCAGCACAGCGGTAAGTGGTGCGTAATAAGCAATATAACACTGCATGTGATACCCTGCGTGACACTGCATGAGATACCCTCTGTAATACTGCATGTGATACCCTGCATGACACTGCATGAGATACCCTCTGTAATACTGCATGTGATACCCTGCNACTGCATGTGATACCCTGCATGACACTGCATGAGATACCCTCTGTAATACTGCATGTGATACCCTGCGTGACACTGCATGAGATACCCTGCGTGACACTGGATGTGATACCCTGTGTGACACTGCATGAGATACCCTGCGTGACACTGCATGAGATACCCTGCGTGACACTGGATGTGATACCCTGCGTGACACTGCATGAGATACCCTCTGTGATACTGCATGAGATACCCTGCGTGACACTGCATGTGATACCTTGCGTGACACTGCATGAGATACCCTCTGTGATACTGCATGAGATACCCTGCGTGACATTGCATGTGATACCTAGTACAATATGTCTTTCACTGCTAGATTTTGCTGCACTTGTAGGTTTACAAGGTCAGCATACTCTGAGTTTTAAAAACAACAAGGACATCTTGGAAAGTGGTGTTTTGGGGCAGGGCGAGGCGGGAAGGGCAATCGCGTACCTTCCGGTGGGGGCCTTTCTGACACTGACGCACTCCTTGCCCGTCCAAACGCAGTAGGGATCCCTGGACAGCACACATTCCCCGCAGTTCTGATAGTTGCTGCAGTTCGCCATGGGCACTGAGACCAGGCCCGAGTAGGACGAGGCAAAGAGCAGGCCCTGGGAACGAGAGGGGACCAGGAAGGTGAGGCAGGGGGGGAGCAGATGAGGGAGAGAACCTGCAAAAACCTGCAAAAAGCCTGGCATCTGCTTCAAGTATCACTCTGCTTGGAAAATGAATGGTGCTCCCACATGAGCAAGATGATTCTGTAACATGGCCTCTAACCACTTTGCAATATCTACACTGTTTACTCTTCGGAATATAGAATTTCTTCTCGAGGGGGTCAGTTATTTGCCCTGCCACTAAGTGTTTTGTTTCCCCTATACTTTGATGTCAAATTACAAACTTCACATAAATCTGACATATTTAAAAAGTACACTAAGATTAAGATTAAGAGTTTAATGCCAAAACAAATATATAAGAAATAATTTATTTGCCATGAATTAAGTTTATGATATTGAATGAAATGTGTGACCATGTCTTCCCTGCCCCTAGACCCCAGAGGGTGAGATAGCTGAGGTTACAGAGCAGCACCTCTGCACTAACCCACCTTCTCCGAGTCGAGCTCTATGTGCTGCACAGGCTGTGCAGGGTGGAACAGCACCATCTCCTCAATGATGTGCATCCTGCCGTCGACGTTGACGGCCTTGTGCAGCTTCCCGTCGTCTGCCGGAGAAGGACACGGCCGCTAATTAGGCCACATGACTTGCAGCACAGTGTGGATTGGTGGAAAGACGCGGCCACTCACCGGTGCCAATGAAGAGCACGTCATAAACCCCATGCAAGGCCTGCACCCTGTCCACAGCGATTTGGGTGTAGCTGATGCCACGCTTCAGCAGCAGGGGGCGCCCTCGTATAACGTCGTCCATCAGGAAGTGGTCCTTCACAAAGTTGAGAACCTTGTCGGGCATCTGTAGTGAGGAGGTGACGCCCATGTGCCTGGCAGCACCTGTGATGCACTGAGGGAGGAGGACAGACCTTAGGACACAGCTGGGGAGGTGAATGTGCGTGTGAGTGTGCGTGTCTGCGTGTGCGTGTCTGCGTGTGCGTGTCTGCGTGTGCGTGCCTGAACGTGCACCTCACCCTTTCTGTCTTAAAAATGGCTAAACCTATCGGTTTGCTGTTTTGATTGTATCGCATTACAGCCACTGTGAGGAATGTGTGTGGGCGTCGACGTGAGCACATTCTCCTCAGCCTGCTGGGATATTAGATGGCTTTTAAAAAGCAAATACATAGAAGATGCAAATTTTTGGTTTGTTGTCAACTGTCAACATATTTTCTGAATTTTGCTAGGGTGTAGTTAGGAATCGGACATTGCCTAGATATCCATGTGTGCATGTTTGTGCATGTGTGTATTTGTTTCTGTGAGTTTTTTTGCCCGCGTGTGTGTGTGTGTGATAAGCCCAGCAGGAAAGGGGGGCTGATACTCATCTGGGTCTCTGATAAAAGGCTCTTACGCTCAGTGTGTTGGGGGGGGGGCACTTACTGCTCCAGGCCGGGGTTCAGGGACCGCGTGGTTGTAGGTGTACCACTGCTGCGTCTCACGGTTGACCTCACGGTAACGGCCATTGAAGGCGGCATCAACCTGATCCATGGTGAAGGAGCAGACGGCCGAGCTGCCTGAGGCCCCGCGATACCTGAGGTACGACAGGAGGGGGCGCTGTGAGCTCGCACATGTCTGACAACACGCACACAGGTATACACACAGACACACACACACATACACACAAACAGACACAGTGCAGTAAATCTGAACAGCACTTATGAGGGCAAGGATGGAAACATGCCTCTCAATCCTTGTACTCATGTTGGCGAAAGTTAGTCAAAGCTCACTGGGGGGGGGGGCAGTACTGGCTGTAGGCAGGTTAGCTCCTTGGTACCTTCTGGTCGCTCAGTGTGGAGGAGTGTGTGTGTGGGTGTGTGTGGGCAGGTTGGTCGCCCCCAGGAAGACCAAAGAGACATATACCCATGCACACAGGATTCTCATCCCCCTTCCTGCCCCCCTCCCTCACCACTGCGAAGTGAAGACGCCATAGAAAGTGGTTTGGTTCCAGTCCTTTCCGTCGGCCGTCAGCACGAACATGTCCTGGATGATGTTGAAGGGGAAGCCGTCGTCGGGCAGCGAGCACAGCAGCTGTGCCTTCAGGAAGGTCGTCCACTTCTTCTGCAGGACCCTCTCGCCGCCCACGTCACCCTGCGGGATGGACACAGGGTCAGACAGCCTCCGGGAGGGTGTGAGCAGAGCCGCCTCTGGGGGGCGCTGCATGGCCCTCCCAGAGGAAATGAACGTAGCAGGGGGGCATTTAGGATAAAACAAAGAAGCCCCCCCCCTCACCAAAATGTAGATGCATGGGCACTTCTCTCCCCTCTCCAGCCCCGGAGCTCGAAGTGCACTCCCCCAGCTGGGAGAAACTCATTTACTGACGTAGCTCGTCATAATCTGACTTGCTAGACTGAAGTGTCACATGACTGAGAAGGAGGGAGGAGCCAGATGGGCAGGTGCGACATTTCAATTAATTAATCAGTTAAGCAATTAAGAAGTGTCTTAACACAGGAACCTGAATAGTCTGTAATCACCTACTTAACGAGTCCCATGTAAGACCATTAGACTTCTGCGTCTGTGTGTGTTCTGACAATAATTAAATTTTACATTGCAAAATATATTTCTCTCTCTCTCTCTCTCTCTCTCTCCAGAGAGAGCAAAAATGATTATTGTTAATCAACAACCAAATGAATGTCACAAATCTGTGCTAAAAAGCACTCATTGTTGCATTAGGTAGGATAATTATCTAAGTCTATTGGGGAACTTTCCGGGTGACGGGGCTGCTTCATCCAGCAGCGTTGCAGAGCGGCGTGGGAGACGAGAGGCGAGGGCGCATTCAGAAAGGGGATTATCATGGGATTACGGCAGATTAACGGAAGGGGAACACTGTAAAGGAACGCTACGTACGGCTCAGAACTGGGTTATGTCTCCCGGAGGAACCATTCTTAAAGAAGAGAAAAACCATATAATGATATGAATTATAGATTTGTGGTTAAGGGTATGTACACTCGGCAACAGCCTAATTTGCATTTGGGTTAAAATATTCATACGAAGGTCCACACATTAGCAGAAGGGAGAGATTAAGGGAGGTGGGGATTTGAAAAGGGCAGCTCCCCAATGGCGTCCCTCCGACACGCCGGGCGGCCCTCACCTTGCAGACGCGAGCGATGCGGGACACCACGGTGCTGTCGAAGAAATCAAACTCCTTGCCAGCTTCGCTGAAGAAGAAGTAAACCTTATCATTGGCCGGGTCGCCGCCCTCCCGGATGTAGGCCGATCCCACGAAGGCGGGGTCTGCGGGGTCCAATCAGAGCAAGCGCCAGTCAGAGGCATGGACGCACAGAAGGCCTCCTCGCGGCAGGCCGTTATCCTGCTAATCACGGGGATCATGGGAAACCTCTTCTTATACTGGTGATCATGGTAGACTTATAGGGCCACACCAGGCACTGGGAGGAAGGCAATCAGACGGCACCTTTCGCAGCTGCATTCGGATGTGTGCCAGCGTTACGATGAGCTGAGATAAAAGGGAGGCCTTTTGTTTTTTGAGACGAGCACCCTGATCTCCCACAATGCACCCTGGGAGTCTCTTTGATGTGCACGTGCTGCGGCAGATAGAACCAGCCGTCTCCACGCATCACAAACAACGCCTAATTGTGGCTGCCCTGCGCCCCGTCTGGGGAGAGCAGGAGCCCGACGCTAAGGGCCGGCATTTACCTTGCAGCCAGTTCAGCGAGTTCTCCGTTTTCAAGGCGGTCCCGTGGCCCAGGCTCTTGTAGATGGTATGTTCATTTCCCTGGAAGTTGCTGACAGTTCCGGCATACAGCTCTCCATCTTAAACGACAAGAGTGGGGGCCATATGACCACATGCAGGTACCCCCCCCCCCCCCCCACTTTCCAGCTACTTCTGGAAAGGTTTTGCTCACATTTGGGCTCACGGACACGCACACACTAATTCAGACACGCACACACACACATAGACACACAGAAACACATAGTCCGGAGTCAGCAGGTCATCTACAGAGGATGTACTCGGATTGTTTAAGGGGGACAAAAGCAATTGGGAAAAAACCAACTCCCCCCCACAATTCTGGGAGAACACGGGAGATCCTCCCTTCTAGACAGTTGGGATCCCTATCTCATCATTTCCATGACCCCCTGGCCGTTACGTACCGACCATGATGGCGGTGGACTTGTACTCAGGACTAAAGGGGCAGCGATTCCGGCCATCCTCTGTCACAATGTCCCCGTCTCTGTCCCTCACCAGGGAGAAGTCGGAGGTGTTCTGTGGACAGAGACATCCCAGTGACACTTAGGGAGACGACCACAACTGAGGTGCACAGCTTGTGCAGGAGTGACCCCAGGCGCTCCCATGAAATGCTCGAACCCACCACTAGGGGGGGGTGGCGGTGAGTCCATAGCCGACTTACTATATAAGCGCAGATGGGGCTGAAAGCGTGGGTGCCACACACGTAGAGGTGCGTGCCGTTCAGCCGAAGCAGGATCTTTATATAGTTCAAGCAATCAGTCTGGAACAAAAACAGTGCAGAAATACTCATAAATAAAAGTGAGCAGCTAGCATTGCATACAGGAGAGTGGACACACTTCGCTTAGACACTGAGCTACAGCAGGATGCAGTCCCAGGCGAGTCCTGGTCTGCAGGCCCTTCGTTCCTCTCACCATTAGAGCCTCATGCTCATCCGTCGGGCTGGATGGAACTCGGGCAGGTTCCCTGCAGTAATGTTTAGATGGAAGGGTCCCCAAGGAACCTGACCATGCTAACATGGCCGATGATGTCATACCTACCCATCATCCATCTGCACATCTTAAGTACAGGCTGACAGTAAGCTATGGGGGCATGGTGGTGGGGGGGGGGGGCTTTCCCTGCTCTCATCGTGGTTACAGAGCGAAGCTGATATAGTTGCTGCACGTACAAGATGCGGCTTCACATGCTGCCTCTCACTGCCGGCAGAGACGGGGCTTATTCCCCAGTCACAGCTGGGATGTTCTTGTCAATCTGCAGACACGATGTTCCAGGCTGTAGCTCAGCACCGTCACGAAGCACGCGTGGGCTGTGGGGGTGGGGGTGAGGGCCGCGGCTGCGTGTCTTACCTTGCGGTCCTTCCCTTTGAAGCTGCACTCTTCCCTCTTCGTCTCGCGCGTCCCCCAACTCAGCTGGGGGGGTAACAGGACAGCAGGTGAGTGTCAGGGTTAGGGGGGCTCAAAGGCACACAAACATGCCCCCACATTGCGGAAGTGTGTGTTTTTACCCCTCCAAAGGCAACATGCTTTCCTCAAAACCCACTGAAGGTTCTGCATAACAGCGTCACGCGTGACCACAGCGTGTCAGACAGCGTGGCTACACCGCGGCCCCAGCGTGTGTAACGGCGCTGTGAGTGTTCAGTGTCAGTGCTGGTGGGCCGCTGAACACACTCACATTCCTTTGGAGGCGCTTGTGCCCGATGTCAGCCAGGTTGAGCGCGAACAGAGCCTCGCGCGCCCCAACATACAGCGTGTCGTCCTCACGGCTGAGCAGCAGAGACGTGTAATTGAAGACGCCGTCTGCCGAGAACCTGCTGGCTGACCTCTCCTTCGCATCTGTCGGGATGAGAAAAGACGAGGCGGCGGAAGGGGGGGGGGGGGGGGTGTTTATTAGTGAGCAAATAGAGGCCTGTCATGAGACGCCCGTGCCCTGCCGGGGCCTGTCGGGGGGGGTTGGCTCGCACCGCAGCTCGTCATACACACACGGCAGGTTCTCCGCCCCGAACGCTCATAAACAGGTGAGTCACGCTCTGTTTTGAACACAAATCCAAACAGCGTGACCCCGTGCAGGTTGCCGCGGAGAACGCCAGCTGTTCCGTTTCCGTGACGGCTAATGGAACACGTGAAGGTTCCATTTCCTTTGTCCGGGGTGAGCACAGCTGTCTGAGGGCGAGGGGGTGGTCTGTCAAAGCCGACAATGCGAGGGGAGTGTTCATGCCCACGCTCTACCATCCATTCATACGCACACGCTTCATCGCGTCGGTGTCAACGTGCTCCAGAACGATCTGGGCGAAGAATGAATAAAGTTTTTCATTTGTAATTGTTATTTATAACTATTGTAACTTCTTTGATACTCAGACAAAATTCAGTAAATGAAACACATCATTAACCTCTGCAACACAGAAATATAATTATTACTAAGTACACACCAATCAGGTACTCTGATAATTACACATTTCGCTGACAACTCTGTCTTGAGCTGTACCTATTTCATACTCTTGGGAGCTACCCTGAAGGCCTTGGCCACTCTGTGGCCCCCTAGGGGTCTCTGGGCAGTATGACAGGCACCGGCAGTCTTGGAGAAGGCCTTAGACAGGAGATTTGGTGTTCTGCAGGCCAGGACACAGAGCCCAGCAGCAGGAATCATTGTCCTGCCAGGAGCAGACATCTGCAATGAAATCAGACTGTGAAAAAATCAGTGTATAAGTCTGTCTGTGTCTGCATGGCCTGAAGATCAAGCAAGGCTACTTTAGAGGCGGGGTCTTAGACCTATCTGAATGGTCATGTGATTCCTTGCACTTGTGGCCCCTCCCACCAAAACATAAACATTAAACTGGTTTGTCTGCTGTCCCCTGCTTTTGCAAGGTCCACACTGCAGAGCCATTAATGCCAATCACCAGCTCTCCCGAGTATATCAGGGGCCCCGGCATATCCACCAACACCAGTGGGGCGTCTCACATCAGCCAGTGCACAGGTAGGCCACAGAGCACTTAGGAAGACTCTGGAAAGAGCAGCAGCGGCAAAAAAAGGAACAAGCCAAGTGCTTCACATATCTGGTAATAATTACTGAGCAGAGCATTCTAGAAGGAGCAAAGGCTACAATACGCCTTTTCATACCAGCAAGTGGTTCCGAGCCACTCAACCGGTGAAAGGCCTTGGACCCAAAGCTGCTTAATGTTGTGTGTGTGCAGTATATGATTAAAAGACAGCGGTGCTTCAGACACGCCGCTTACATTCTCTGCTGTCAGTGAGGCCTTGAGCCTGGATAACTGGCTGGAAGGATGATCGCCGAAGTAATTCAGCCCACTCACACTCACTCTGGCACGCAGGCAGGGGACTTGGATCTCACTGAACGAAACCCGGTATGATCCAGCAAAATGCTACTCGCATTTGGGCTTTCTAAGCTTCTGAGAAACTTTGCAGCGTCATTGCTAGGGGGTGGGTTTCTAACATTAAAGTGGCCTCCCTGTATAGCCATGTGACCCGAGCAGTGGATACTGGGAAGGAAACTGCTGGTATCTAAAGGAGCTTGTACTGCTCCGGCAGGGGGGGCGAGATTGGGGTACCCCCACACTAGGCGTGTCGCAACTTGTCCTGAGCCTCCCGTGTCCTGAGCCTCCCCTGTCCTGAGCCTCCCCTGTCCTGAGCCTCCCCTGCACAGCCCTGAAGCGGATGATGATGATTCACTCGCTGTAATCACAGAGCCATCGTGGCTGGTTATCACCGCTCGGGGGGGTCTATCACGGCACTCGGCACCATTTCACCAGCCACGGGCACCACGAGCAGCCATCTCATTAATCGGGGGACATGCTCTACATATGATTATTCATTATACAATGTTAGTTAATTCTAACATATCTGCCATTTAAAGATGCACTTCTCATCCATCCATCAGTGTATCTGGTAGAGGGTAAGGCAGGTCATGCGTGGAATGGAAGTGTTTTATGCATGAATTAAATGTTTTTACTCTATAAAAATATATTACATCCATTTTATTCAAGCATCCAATCAGCTTATGTGCTATGAATAAATGTCATTTATGAGATTTTACTGTCCACTTAATGGTCAATATTTTAATGAACAATATTGGTATTTCGAGTTGTCCTTGGCGTTCATGTCAAGGAGGAATGAAACCCTTTAATCAACTGAACCCCCCTCCCCCCATATGGGGGGCTTGAGGGGTTCAAGTCTACTTTGGTGAACATGCACAGACAGGTATGGAGAGAGAGAGAGAGAGAGAGAGAGAGAGAAAGAGAGTGAGAGAGAGAACACAGGCAAATCTCAGCACAGTGCAGATATCAGGAATCCAGCAAACATGGGGCTGCAATGAGAGCTTTGAATGAAAGGGGAAAAGCTGAAGGACATAGGAGGTGCAGGCTTCCACAGACCAGGCACGCGGGGCCCCTCTACGCTGGGGGGTGCCATCCTACAGGGCCCCTAAGGCAGCCCCACACCCCCCCATTGAACAGGAAGGCGGGGCCCCTCTACGCTGGGGGGTGCCATCCTACACAGCCCCTAAGGCAGCACCACACCCCCCCATTGGACAGGAAGGCGGGGCCCCTCTACGCTGGGGGGTGCCATCCTACACGGCCCCTAAGGCAGCCCCACACCCCCCCATTGGACAGGAAGGCGGGGCCCGTCTCCGCTGGGGGGTGCCATCCTACACGGCCCCTAAGGCAGCCCCACACCCCCCCATTGGACAGGCAGGCGGGGCCCATCTCCGCTGGGGGGTGCCATCCTACACGGCCCCTAAGGCAGCCCCTTACCCCACCTGATGCACATCACAGTGCAGCAGCCTCAAGTCTGCCTGTGGCCTCCATTTTCCGTCGTGTCCCGGCTGTGGCCATGTGTGAGTTATTTTATCTACCCCCTGCCCCCTCCCCGACCTCGGTAGTGGGAGACGTCCTTGCGATCGCCTGCACAGCAGCTCTGTCCGGCCGTTTGAACCGCCCTGGTTCCGGTCACATACATGCTCGTTAGCGGCCAGTTCCGACCATCGTTCCCGGCAGACAGGACTTTCCTGGAAGAGTGAGCTGAGCATGTCGCGAGCGGCCCGGGTAATTCCCGGGAAACAGGCATGGCGAGGACCGGGAAGAGGGGGGGCGTAAAGTCCCGGGACTGGATCCCAGCAGGAACAGACTTGCACAAGTGAAGGAAGAGCCACGATTTTGCCAGAACACCAGCTGTCTCTGGTCGTTTAATCGAACGCACTTGATCCGGTTGGGCAGCTTCTCATGTCATGCCTGTCAAAGCGAGGGTAGGGGAGGGCGGCTGCGGCCGCCGGAGACCCCGGCTGCGGATGTCTGCTCGGCCCACGGGCCATCAGAGGGAATGCGGGTCAAGGGACCAGAAGCGAGCAGCACGCTAATTAGCCGGGCCAGGCCGGGTCATCCTGGTGACGCAGATTCCACCTCTGGCCACGGTCCATTCCCGTGCTTATCCAGATTCAGCACACGCCGTGATGCAGACCTTTAATGTACTGCAGGGTATGGCTGTTTGAGCAATGAGTGTTTAATGTGGGCGAGAGGTCAGCTAAAGGCCCTCTGCAGCGGCCATGTAGAGCTAATGAGAGCCAGTAGGGGGCAGTGCTGAGCAATGCCCGGGACATTCCCAGCATGCCAAATGAACTCATTAACAGCGACCAGATAATGGACATCTGAGAGGATCAACACTGAACACAAGTATCTGTAAATGGCACCCGAAAAATCCCCAGAATGCAAAGGGGGCAACAAGAAATGCTTTGTGGAGGGATGGAAGAGGCGTGGTGCTGTGGCCCACACATGGGCAAGGGACGGCACTCCGGTCAACAGGGAGCCCAAGAACAGCCGCAGGCTTTTAAAGACAAACAAACGGGGCTGCAGAGGCCCCCAGAATACGAAGTGACAGGGCGAGCCTGGGCTTACACGCCGGGGGAGGGGGGCACGGCAGGCCCAGACGGGCCCCTCACATGGGGGCCCCCTGTCTCAGCTTCACTGGAAGCGAGGAGAGATCGATATCGGCAGAGATTAGTAGTTTCGGTGTCATTTGCCTGCGTAACCCTCTGCAGCTGCAGTACATCTGCACG